CTATTCCTTGTTTAGTTTTGTGCCTTTAAGAAAAAGTTTAGCTTGATTTAATAGCTCTTGTTTACTGTCTTCTGTGTCTAGAATCACCTCATTCAATTTCCAATTCACACGGGTTTTATACTGCTGATTATTCTTGATCTTAATCCTCACTGGTGCATGGTCGGACCATGTGATATTACCATATCTGATGTTATACAACTCTCTAGTGTTGCCCCATACATTAAAAATAAATCTATACGTGAGTAAGACACATGTGAATTGGAATAAAAAGTAAAATCCTTATCGATTGGGTGATGAACCGTCCATACATGTAGAAAAGGATTCTGCCCTATTTTTTAATCTTTGATCAAGTCTAGCTCATTTCATTAGTTTTGTATCCATATCATAATTACAATTCATATCTCCCCCTACTATCAGAAGACCCCTTCGAATATTTTCAATTTTTTCAATAGAATTTAACAACCTTATTGGATATTCCGAAGGTGCATAAACATTCACCAAAGTCTATAAAATATAATTTATCCCGCATATTAGTGCAATATATCTCCCTTCTTGGTCATTTTCGTGGTGTATATATTCAAATTTATGTCTGTTTGTTATAATTAAAGCTACTCCTCTTTATTTTTTATCTTTTAATGAAGACACAAATATGCGGGTATTTACGATATTTCTACATCTTTTCTTGTTCCCATTTCCAATGTGTCTCCTCTATAAAGGCTACAACAACATTATCTTCTATCAATAAATCTTATGGGTAGATCTTTTATACAAAGAGTTGAATCCCTGTGAATTTAAAGTGATCATTTTAAGGGACATATAGATCTTTCATCACCCTCTTCTCAGTAGACAAGACAGACAAACCCTCTGGATGAACCTCTTTACATATAATAGACATTAACCTCACAAAATTCATCTTACATGAAATGATATCTAATCCAATCTCGCATAGATGAAAAAAAAACAAAACACCCCAAGCCACTGGGGAGTATAAATGCAATTACAACTTCCAGAGGCAGAAAAGGAAGAAAGAAAAAAATTCTCTTTGGGGAGGGGTGGAATGGCCAGGTTTCTTTTCCATGCATACTAAAATATTCTATTTTATTTTGAGTATTAAATCATCAATCATAAAGATTTTCTTAAATTTAGGAAAGATTCTCAGTGCCTGTGTATTAAATATATCTATCCATGGGCAGGAAGAGGGGGGGGGAGAGAAGAGAAGACAGTTTTTCTCTTTTTTCCTTTTCTTTCTCTTCCCTTCTCGCCTCTTTATAATTAGTTAAGATCACATTCAAAATTACCAATTATCTTATATCCATATTCCCTTTAGATAGTTTAGTTCAAAATGCAGATTTCAAATGTTTCAAATGTTCAGTAATTTCTTATCAATTGATTTTATGTCATCCGTGAAAGTGATAGAAAAAAGGGGGCGATTTAGATCTTAAAAAAATGCATTTCTCACATGCTAACATGTAATATATAAAAAAAATTGTTACGTTGTTTATTGTACTATATTTGTGCCTTATCCACTTCACCCTTTTAATAATTCTTACTTTTCTGTATAATGACAACATATATTATAAGTGCTTCAGTTTGAAATTTATTAAAATATTAATTAATAATGTGCACATTTAATTAATCATGTAATTTTATCTTTTAGTGCTGTCATCTGTAGACAATTTAGAGGAAAAAGAACATTTCATACATATTTTTCCATTTTGTGTGCTAATACTATTCTTTTTGAATTATACCATGTGAATTAATCTCATTAGTAGACTTTTACTTACAGGGAGTGCAGAATTATTAGGCAAATTAGTATTTTGACCACATCATCCTCTTTATGCATGTTGTCTTACTCCAAGCTGTATAGGCTCGAAAGCCTACTACCAATTAAGCATATTAGGTGATGTGCATCTCTGTAATGAGAAGGGGTGTGGTCTAATGACATCAACACCCTATATCAGGTGTGCATAATTATTAGGCAACTTCCTTTCCTTTGGCAAAATGGGTCAAAAGAAGGACTTGACAGGCTCAGAAAAGTCAAAAATAGTGAGATATCTTGCAGAGGGATGCAGCACTCTTAAAATTGCAAAGCTTCTGAAGCGTGATCATCGAACAATCAAGCGTTTCATTCAAAATAGTCAACAGGGTCGCAAGAAGTGTGTGGAAAAACCAAGGCACAAAATAACTGCCCATGAACTGAGAAAAGTCAAGCGTGCAGCTGCCACGATGCCACTTGCCACCAGTTTGGCCATATTTCAGAGCTGCAACATCACTGGAGTGCCCAAAAGCACAAGGTGTGCAATACTCAGAGACATGGCCAAGGTAAGAAAGGCTGAAAGACGACCACCACTGAACAAGACACACAAGCTGAAACGTCAAGACTGGGCCAAGAAATATCTCAAGACTGATTTTTCTAAGGTTTTATGGACTGATGAAATGAGAGTGAGTCTTGATGGGCCAGATGGATGGGCCCGTGGCTGGATTGGTAAAGGGCAGAGAGCTCCAGTCCGACTCAGACGCCAGCAAGGTGGAGGTGGAGTACTGGTTTGGGCTGGTATCATCAAAGATGAGCTTGTGGGGCCTTTTCGGGTTGAGGATGGAGTCAAGCTCAACTCCCAGTCCTACTGCCAGTTCCTGGAAGACACCTTCTTCAAGCAGTGGTACAGGAAGAAGTCTGCATCCTTCAAGAAAAACATGATTTTCATGCAGGACAATGCTCCATCACACGCGTCCAAGTACTCCACAGCGTGGCTGGCAAGAAAGGGTATAAAAGAAGAAAATCTAATGACATGGCCTCCTTGTTCACCTGATCTGAACCCCATTGAGAACCTGTGGTCCATCATCAAATGTGAGATTTACAAGGAGGGAAAACAGTACACCTCTCTGAACAGTGTCTGGGAGGCTGTGGTTGCTGCTGCATGCAATGTTGATGGTGAACAGATCAAAACACTGACAGAATCCATGGATGGCAGGCTTTTGAGTGTCCTTGCAAAGAAAGGTGGCTATATTGGTCACTGATTTGTTTTTGTTTTGTTTTTGAATGTCAGAAATGTATATTTGTGAATGTTGAGATGTTATATTGGTTTCACTGGTAATAATAAATAATTGAAATGGGTATATATTTGTTTTTTGTTAAGTTGCCTAATAATTATGCACAGTAATAGTCACCTGCACACACAGATATCCCCCTAACATAGCTAAAACTAAAAACAAACTAAAAACTACTTCCAAAAATATTCAGCTTTGATATTAATGAGTTTTTTGGGTTCATTGAGAACATGGTTGTTGTTCAATAATAAAATTAATCCTCAAAAATACAACTTGCCTAATAATTCTGCACTCCCTGTAATAAACATTGCTTTAATTATTTAACCCCATTGCTTCTCCTTCCTTCCCTTTTTAGAACCATTCTCTTTTTTTTTCCTTTCCCTATCAACTTTTATATACCCCTTCACTTCTCCTTCCTCCTTCCCCATCCCTTCCCCTCTCTATCCCTACCTTTTTTCCACCCTTCCACCCTCTCCCTCCCCCACTCTTCTTCCCCCACTGTTAAATATACACTAAGAACAATAATTCAGATATTACAAATCCCCCACCAGAAAAAAATAAAAATAAAACTTCCTTTTTTCCTTTGCAGAGTAAGTCCTGTTATTGTGTGGAAGAGAAGCTCTTGATTTATGTACTCTTTATTTGAAACATTAAAATCTTTCTCTTTTTCCCAGAGACCCCATATTGTCATTTTCTCTTTCGCTTGTTCAGCCTCCAGGCATAAGTAGCTTTTATGTTTGTATAGAATTCTCAACTTTGTGGGAAACCCCTGAGAGTAGGCTATATGATTTTCTCATAGTCGCCTGGTACATTCATTCAATTTTTTCCTATTTTGATGTGTCTCAGAGATACCAGCAAATTATATTAAGTATGCAAATTTTGGGTTGGTAGTGGGATTTTTTCTCCATTCTTTTAGAAACAATCCCTTTATCCTTGTGTTGTTAAATCACATTATAATGTCTCTGGGGACATTTGATTGTTTTAGAAAGACTGGTTTTGGTAGTCTATGGGAGCAGGACCAGTGAGCTTTGGGTCAATATATACTGCAAGCATCTCTGTTACATATGGATATAGGTCTAGAACTTCTTCCGGGATTCCTCTTATCCTTAAGTTTTGTCTGCGTGTTCTATCTTCTTGCTCTATCATTTTCTCTTGTAGTTTAGATATTGTATGAGTAGCAGTATCCAATTGTATTTGTAAATCGTTATTTTTTTGTTTGGATCTGTTCAATATAATGAGATTATGAGACAATGGTAGATTTTAATTAAGAGAGATCTTCTTTATCAAGATCCCCCTTAATCTTTTAAGAGAGTTTCTAGAGCTGTATTTAGAGTGTGCTGTGAAATATAATTGACTGGTTTAGAGGTAGTCGTTTCGAGTGTTTGGTTTGGGGAAGACTCAGTTAATGATACTGAGTGCTCAGTTTTGCTTTTAGGTGAATCAAAGGCACCTATTTGCTGGCCCTTGTTAGAGTTATCTGATTTACTTAGTTTTTTGGTCTTTCCATCTTTTTCCATCTTTTCCACTTAATCCCCTTTTGGAGGCATATTCCTTTATATCTCTCTTTAATTGCTCAAAGAAAAAAAAATATATACACAACAAAAAAAGAAGATAACATTGCAACCAGGCTTTGTTTTTTGCCCCCTCATTTTTTCTATTACTTTTCCCCCCTTATTTTGAGACCTTCCAACTTACTCATCCACTCTCCTTTTTCACAGTTTAGTTGATATTCTATTAGCCTATATTTATCTTCAAGTTTAAAAATATTTATCTTTCCATATAAGTTTCCAAGTTTCTAGTTATATTATGACCCCTGCTCCTGTGCTCCCACAACTTCCCCAGCGTCACTTATCTTTTTGTTGCTCAGCCTCCCTCACATAGTTACATAGTTGAAAAGAGACTTGCGTCCATCAAGTTCAGCCTTCCTCACATATGTTTTTGCTGTTGATCCAAAAGAAGGCAAAAAACCCAGTCTGAAGTGCTTCCAAGTTTGCAACAAACTAGGAAAAATTCCTTCTTGACCCCAAAATAGCAGTTAGATGTCTCCTTGGATCAAGCAGCTATTACCCCACTAATTAGAAATTATATCCCTGTATGTTATGTTTTTGCAAGTATTTATCCAATTGCAGTTTAAACATCTGTATAGACTCTGACAAAACCACCTCTTCAGGCAGAGAATTCCATATCCTTATTGCTCTTACTGTAAAAAAAACCTTTTCTTTGCCTTAGATGAAATCTCCTTTCTTTCAGCCTAAATGTGTGACCTTGTGTCCTATGTATAGCCCTGTTTATGAATAGATTTCCAGATAATGGTTTAAACTGGCCCTGAATATATTTGTATAATGTTATCATATCCCCTCTCAGGCGCCGTTTTCCAAACTAAAGAGATTTAAATTGTTTAACCTTTCTTCATAACTAAAAATGCTCCATTCCTTTTATCAATTTTGTAGCTCGTCTCTACACTTTTTCTATTGCCATGATATCTTTCTTTAGAACAGGTGCCCAAAATTGCACAGCATATTCAAGGTGTGGTCTTACCAGCAATTTATAAAGAGGCAAGATTATATTTTCATCTTGAGAATTTATGCCTCTATTTATACATGACAAAACCTTACTGGCCTTAGCAATGGCAGATTGACATTGCATATTGCTGCCTAATTTGTTGTCTATAACAATTCCCAACTCCTTCTCGTGTGTGGTTATCCCTAGTTCACTACCATTTACGGTGTAAATTGCTTGTGCATTCTTAACCCCGAAGTGCAAAACTTTGCATTTCTCTACGTTAAATTTCATCTGCCATTTTAGTGCCCAGTCCCCCAATCTATCCAAATCCCTCTGCAGCAAGGCAATATCCTGCTCACATTTTATTACTTTACAAAGTTTTGTGTCATCTGCAAACACTGATACATGGCTTTCATGCCCATTTCAAGATCATTTATAAATATGTTAAATAGAAGCGGTCCTAAAACAGAACCATGAGGGACACCACTTACCACTTTTGTCCAGCTTGAAAATTTACCATTAATGACAACTAATTGTACTCTATCCTTAAGCCAATGTTCTACCCAAGAACAAGAATATTCATCTAGACCAATTTATTTTAGTTTAAAGACTAACCTATTGTGAGGAACTGTATCAAATGCATTGGCAAAATCCAAGTAGATCACATCCACTGCAACACCCTGATCTATACTTCTACTTCTTTTTAGAATACAATTAGGTTAGTTTGACATGACCTACGTTTCATAAAACAATGCTGATTATTGCTAATAACACAGTTCTTACCAATTAATTCCTGAATATTATCCCTTAGTAGCCGTTCAAACAATTTCCCAGTCACAGAAGTTAAGCTCACAGGTCTATAATTTCCAGGTAAGGATTGTGAACCCTTTTTAAATATAGGAACAACATCTGCCTTCCTCCAATCCTCGGGTACAATACCTGAAACAAAAGAATCTTGAAAAATTAAATACAGAGGTTCACTTATTTCCCCACTTAGCTCCTTAAGTACTCGTGGGTGGATACCGTTAGTCCCCTGAGCTTTATTTATATTAATTTTCTTTAAAGCTGTAGCACATGCCTTCCAATATTTCCACTTGTTTCTTCGTTGGTCAGTATGTCCGACCATAGATGTTCCGACCTTGGCAAGATCTTCTGACCTTAAAGGATCACTATAGGGTCAGGAACACAAACATGCATTCCTGACCCTATAGTGTTAAAACCACCATCTAACCCCCCTGGGCCCCTTATGCCTCCATAAATTTAGTAAAAATCTTACTGTATTCAATCCTGAAGCTGTAACTCAGAATGATGTTAGACTCAGAAAAACAAACAGTCTGCTGACATCATCAGAAGTGGTAGCCTGATCCAATCACAATGCTTCCCCATAGGATTGGCTGAGACTGACAAGGAGGCAAATCAGGGGCAGAGCCATCATGATACAAACACAGCCCTGGCCAATCAGCATCTCCTCATAGAGATGAATTGAATCAATAAATCTCTATGAGGAAAGTTCAGTGTCTGCATGCAGAGGGAGGAGATACTGAATGTTTGGATGCATTTTAGGCGCCATGACCCAGAAGGATCTCTAGCAGCCATCTGAGGAGTGGCCTGTGAAGTTATCACTAGGCTATAATGTAAACACTGGATTTTCTCTGAAAAGACAGTGTATAATGCAAAAATCCTGAAGGTAATGATTCTACTCACCAGAACAAATTCAATAAGCTGTAGTTGTTCTGGTGACTAAAATGTCCCTTTAACTGCAGAGTCTCTAACAGTTTCTAATGTCCAAAAGCTTGTGCATTCTGGGTGTTCGAGGTCCCGGGTATCGCCGCTGTTCATCTCACTGTTCATCGCACTCTTGCTACTTGCTTCCCCTCTCACTGGCTCATTCCTCCCTTCTCTCCGCCTCCTTCATTTCATCGCGGCTTATGATTTCACATGATCACGTCAACATTCATGGAATCTCAATTCTAAAAATGAACCTAGATTAATTATTGGAATCGCTATTTTGGGATACTTTATTTTCAGTTTCTAAATGTATATACCTATTTTTTTTACATACATATAGAATTAAGAAAAATGTTCCTTGCAAACATTTGATAATCTACTGGTAAAATCATTAATTGGATATATTCTGCTCCATTGTCACTGATCCAATGAGCAACCCCTTGATACATATCTTCCATCAGAAAGAACTGCAGTGATGCACAGTTTACTAACTTTAATTATGTGTTTTTATTACTTTGATGAATTCTGCACAATTGATTTGATATTTTGTTCTTGACAGTTTTCTGATTATCTTCACTCAGCATCAACAAGGTTTTGTAATTACCAATTAAGGACATCATTAATGCTAATATATTGTTTCTACCTACTGTAAATGCTTGAGACTGATAGTACTAAAGAATTAAATATATTCAAATGAAAAATGTACCAGAAATGTTACTGAAATTAGGTGTTTATCTACTGAGAAGTCAAAGTAATTCTTCTTTATCCAGATTTTTCACTGCAAAGAACAGTCACATGTAACGTTTGGTTAAATGAAGAAATGATTGCTGATTTGTCTTAAGTGGTTACTCTTTAATAAATAAATATGGAAAATTAGCATGCTTTTATGTGTCCAAACCTTGATTAAATAATAGAGACTGCTAGTCTGTTGGGTATTATATGTCTCTGTGTAGAGACACAAAAATGAGCTGTTTCATTTTTATAATCATATCCCCATAGTCTAGCCCCAGCACTATCACTGACAGAAATGTATGGATGCAGAAATGTATTTGTATTTTAAATTAACCACAGCAGAGTTCCCAAGCATTAAGTACCAGTATTCCTTTTTTGGAAAATGCTTGAAAACGATTTGACACCAACCAAGAAAATGGAGCCCGCAGGCTCTTTGAGCCACGACCACTACAATGAACTGTAGTGTTTATGATGCTTAGAGAGTTCCTTTAACCCTTTAGATATGATACTTCTGACTTGACTGACAGTGATACCTTGAATTAATCGAGACTGATGGGTCATCAAGCTCTGGTCAGTGCAACACCTTCATTAGCCAATCAGCAATAAGTGTTTTAAGCTAGTTTGATAATTTACTTTATGATACAAAAATGACAAAAAGCATAACATCATATCTGCAGAAATTGTGTAATTAGTCAGTCTTACCATTAGTTTTGTTACAACCTTTAAAACCCGATGAGCTCAAATCTATTTATATTTCATGCCATATTGTGATCTAACATTTTTACTGACTGCAATGACAAAAGGTCACAGTTGACAACACATTGGTTATTACGCATAAGTTCTTTAATCATATTATTTCCTTCTAGTTCCCATAATAAAAAAATCACATATCAGACTCTCATTAATTAGTACTGTAACATCAAAGGCTATCATTATAATAAAACCAATGAAGCTGACATACATCCTAGATTAGACTCTTCCACATAAATATAGACATTTTTCTTCCCATTATCATTTGTGAAATCACACCTGGGTAATGACCCAAACAATTGTGACTTAAAGAACCTGGATGCCATCAAGATAATTATTCAAAGACAATAAAACTTAAAATGAAACAATAGAATATGTACAATTGCTTTATTGCTGTAATAAACCTGAGAAATCTAAAGAGGCATTTTGGCCCTTTGTATTAATCATCTGCAAGACTTATAGGCTCATTTAGGTTTGATTATAAATGTGTAAGGAATGGGAAAGTTCTATGGTATATGTGGCTAGGATAATCCACGTGTGGAGACCACTGAATTATAGCATGGACCAAAGCTGCAGATAAACTCCATGATGGGCGGAATGGTTGTGCGGATGTTGTTCGCAGTGCTCATGTCATGCTCACTGTCATCCATATTGTCCTTGATAGCATATCCATCGGATTTGTTTCATTTTAGGACCTCTGTGCAGGGGTTTATTTACCGCGAGTCTGACAAGGCATTTGCCTTGGGTGGCACTTTCAGGGAGGTGGCTTTTTCGCCCTGGCAAATGCCTTGCCAGCCTCTTATCCTGGGGGGCCCAGGAGCTGGCCGGCTGGCCAACTCAGGGAACCCCTGAAGCTGGCATGTGCTGATGTTGCAGGACACGTGAGGGAGCACTGTCCCCTGAGCTCTCCCCTGTCCAGCTCCCTTGCGCGCACTGTATTGATGCCGGAGACGGAATATGACATCACTCCGGCTCAGGCATCACTAAGAGGCACGCGAGGGAGCTGGGTCCCCACTTAGATCTCAAGCTGGTTTTAGCTCAACTGCTATTGGCTATACCTCACTGATTTAGAAGGTTGAAACGATCGTCTAGGGTTGTATCTCTAGTGCAGAAGGAACTTGCTCGCATTTCGGATCTGGACTGCCTGTACGAGTGGGACCAGTCTGATATCACCACCTTATATATGATTTAAAATGGAGCCAAAAAAAAAAAAAAAACTATGTGATAATACATTTCTTCATTTGATCACTATCCTTCAATAAAATAATTTTTTTCCATGATCAGTCATAATTTTCAAAATCAATGCCAAGACACATGCTTTTGAGCACGCTGTATATATACACATGTTTTTTTATTGTTTTAAAAAAGTCACATATCAAAAAAAAAAAAAATATATATATATATATATATATATATATTTAAACAGGGCTGGATTAACATAGGGGCTGATGGAGCTGCAGCTCCAGGCCCAGGCCATGGGACACATGTCCCTCAGCCAGTGTCCCTAGTTGCTCAGTGTCCACATGGCTCCCAGTTTCCCCTAGTCTCCCAGTGTCTGTGTCCCCATGTCTCTGTGTCCCTAGTGACTCAGAGTCCCCATGTCTCCCAGTGTCACCATGTCTCCCAGCTAGTGTCCTCATATCTCCCAGTGTCCCCAAGTCTCCCAGTGTGTGTCCCCATGTCTCTCAGTATCCCCATGTGTCCCCATGTCTATGTCCACAACTGTCTCTAGTGTCTCAGTGTCCCCATGTCTCTCAGTGTCCCAGTGTTCCCATGTCTCTCAATGTCCCTAGTGTCTTAGTGTCCCCAAATGTCTCTGTGTCCCTAGTGTCTCAGTGTCCCCATTTCTCCCAGTGTCTCCAAATGTCTGTGTCCCCATGTCTCCCAGTGTCCCCATGTCTCACTGTGTCCCCTAGTATCCTAGTGACATGGGGACACTGGGAGAAATGGGGACACTGGGAGACTGTGGGACTGGGCGACATGGGGACACTGACACTGTGATACATAGGGACCCTGAGACACTGGGTGACTTGCGAGACTGAGATATTGGGAGACAGGGAGACACTGGGAGCAATTCATCTATACAGGGGAATCAAATTGTGAGTAGTTTGTTGGTGATTTTACAGAATGTTCTCTTATGTCACTCCTTGTGATTTACATCATGTGATGTCATGCATAACTAATTAATTATACAAATGATTAAGGCTGGTATTTTTCTTTCCAAGAAAGGTGGCAACCCTAACTACTCTTCACATACTCTTGCTTAAAGGAACACTATAGGGTCAGGAACACAATCATGTATTTCTGATCCTATTATGTAAAAAACACCATCTAGCCCACCCTTCCCCCGTCTTGCCTCCCTAAATATAGTAAAATCTTACTTGTAGTCAAGTCTGCAGATGCTGGCTCTGCCTCTGAACTGACATCATCAGAAGTGGTGGTCTGTGCAAATTACAATGCTTCCCCATAAGATTGTCTGAGACTGTCAACTAGGCAGATCAGGGGCAGAGCCAGCACAAGTCAAACATAGCCCTTGCCAATCAGCATCTCCTTATAAAGATAAATTGAATCAATGCATCTGTATGAGGAAAGTTCAGTGTCTGCATGCAGAGGGTGGAGACACTGAATGGCAGTGCTGCACACTAGGCAGTACTGCCCCAGGAAGCACCTCTAGCAGCCATCTAAGGAGTGGCTAGTGGAGTTATTTTCTCTGAAAAGACAGTGTATAATGCAAAAATCCTGAAGTGAATGATTTTACTTACCAGAACAAATACAATAAGCTGTAGTTGTTCTGGTGACTATAGTGTCCTTTTAAGTTTGGAAGCTTAAGAGGGATGTATGACAACAAAACTTGTGTGGACTGGCTGACAATAAAATTAGTTTAGGTTATGCAGACTTTGGTCTCTCTAACACTGTGGCATGTCCCCTTTCTTCTACACTCATTACATACACTTTTACTCTGTCCCAGGCTATATAACAGGAACTTCTGCCTGCTAGTAAGAAGGTAAGGAGTCAAGTGGACATGTGAGTGCTAGGGGACAGTCCTTAGAAAGTGTGGAGTAGGCGCATCATTTGATGAATTTATGCCAAGCTCAGGGTGCTGCCTGCATAGTATGCCCTTAGTTGGACAGCCTGCATGATTGGCAAGCAGCCTTCCAATTCTTTGGACAAACATGCCCCCTTTTTGGGCATGTTCACCCCTTTTGGCAGGTCTGGTCACATGATTTGCGCCAGTGGCCCACCTTTTTAACCCGCCCATTGACTTCCTGCTTCACAGGACACTGCTATTAGGGGGTATGGATTTACTTGAAAGCATACATTAGAGAGAGATTAACATAGAGTATATGTTTTCGTATAGCTGCATCCTTTCCCTCCAACACCATCTCCATCAGATACATGACGCTTGGGAGGTATGGTTGTTTTAGGGTTTTTGGTCGATAAGATTCTGTAATTAGGCCCATTATAATTGTCAGCTCCAGGCCCACTGGGCTCTTAATCTGGCCCTGTATTTAAATAATTTTAGTAAAAACTGAACTTTCATGTTATGTGGAGAGTGAGATATAATTTGCAATTTATGTATTAGACAGAAAGTGATTAAAAAAAATGTATTAAGATACTAGCATCTGTAACATCAAGCATGTAGTTTAATAGGTAAATATGAGACAGTACTACTTTAACCCCTTAAGGACTGAGCCAAATGTACACGTTGTGAACGAAACAAAATGTAAACAAAACCTGGCATTTGCGCTACATGTCTGTCCAACCGTAATTCACCTCTTTCATAGTAAATGCACCCACCCTTATTATATATCATTTTATTCAGGAGAAACAGGGCTTTCATTTAATACCAAATATTTAGCTATAAAACATAATTTAATATGAAAAAAATGGGAGAAAATCTATATATATATATTTTTTTTAGTTCTACATGACATTTAAACTGTCAACGTCATAATACTGTTTGCTTTCACTGCGATAAAATACACATATTTGTATTCAGCAAAGTCACATGTGTAAAACAGTACCCCCTATGTACAGGTTTTATGGCGTTTTGGGAAGTTACAGAGTCAAATATAGCATGTTACATTTGAAATTGAAATTCGCCAGATTAGTTACGTTGCCTTTGGGACTTTATAGTAGCCCAGGAATGAAATTTACACCCATAATGGCATACCATTTGCAATAGTAGACAACCCAAGGTATTGCAAATGGGATATGTCCAGTCTTTTTTAGTAGCCATTATGGGTGTAAATTTCAGCATTGGGCTAACATAGGGTCTCAAAGGCAACGTAACCAATCTGGCGAATTTTAATGTGAAAAAAATGAAACACAAGCCTTATATTTGACGCTGTAACTTTTGAAAACACCATACAACCTGTACATGAGGGGTACTGTTGTACTCAGGAGACTTCGCTGAATACAAATATTTGTGTTTCAAAACAGTAAAAAGTATCGCAGCAAAAATATCGTCCGTGTAAGTGCTGTTTGTGCGTGAAAAATGCAAAAAAACTGCACTTTTACTGTCGATATCATCGTTGTAATACATTTTACTGTTTTGAAACACTAATATTTGTGTTCAGCGAAGTCTCCCGTGTAGAATAGTACCCCCCATGTACAGGTTTTATGGTATCTTGGAAAGTTATAGGGTTAAATATAGTGCTAGCAAATTAAATTCCCTTTACTTTCGGCATGGGTTGTCAGGCAGGTCCCGCTAATTGTAATTAATTAAGATACCTAATTATGTAAAAATATTACATAAATATATATGTAGAATTAATATATGTATATATACGTATGTTAATATAAATATTTTTATTTATATATAGATATATATATATAGTGATATATACATATATATTTATGTATATAGATATATATTGTGGCGAAACCAACCTCGCCACTGTACACTGGAGTAGCCTGGTTGCTCGCCTGCTCCCTTTAGACTATGGTCCTGCATTTTAAACTTGTATTTTACCGGCAGAAAGGTTTATTAGTGCCTCTCTGCGGACTGTTAAAGTCATGCTACCCCAGATAGCTATGCCATGGAGCCCAGCCGTATACTGAAAGACTGTATGAAAGAATTTGGCTCCATGGCGATTGAACTGTATGTATGTGATCTGAGCGCCATTCGGTAGTAATGTGCACTCAGATCTAAGCTATCTGGGGATATGTAGAATGTCTATGTTTTATGGAATAAATGAAACTGTATGTAATTTTATGTCTTTTATTGTCCTTTGTCTACCATGTGGTTAATGGAGTTTTGCCTCTGTCCTTGGAGATAATTTGATTACTTCACAATTATCTCCAGGACAGAGAGGAGGGATTGTGATGTAATTGTGGGTGTGTTTTACGGTTCCCCTGTAACGATTGGTTGTACTGTGTCCCACCCTGTGGGATGTCCCCTTGCATGGGGACTTGCATAAAAGCCCCATTACAGAGAGTTCCTGCTTAACCCTCAAAGTGAAGTGTCGTCTCATTATTGGGGGAAGGATTTATTGTATGCTGTTCAGTTTGACTGCTAGGAGAGTAAACCTATTCGTATGGTTTCCTATTCAACTGTCTATAGCATTCATATGCTTGGGAGAATTTATTTGTTTCTCCGGTTCGGTGATTGTGGTGTCTGCCAGAGTGCTTGGAGTCCTCAGGAAGCGCTAGGAGCATCCTTCAACGGAGGTACCCAGTCGGGGTGCCAGGCGATCCGTTACATATATATTATTTTGTTCTACGTGTATTTTGATATAAATATATATATTAATATCACAATACAGTTAGAACAAAATAACACACATCTATATATTTTTTAATTATTTTTTAAAATTATTATTTTTATTTAATTTTTTAACGTATTTACATATTAAATTTTTTTATATTATATATATATATATATATATATATATATATATATATATATATATATATATATATATATAACAATTATATATATTTAATCAATATCAGTCTACGTGTAATTTGATATTAATAAATATATAATAATATATATATATATATATATAAATAGTAAAATACACCTAGACAGTGTGTGTGTATATATATATATATATATATATATATATATTTATTTTTTTTTACACTTTTTAACTTTTATTTGATTTTATTTCCAGCCAGCAGGGGTGTGACGAGACCAATCTCGCCACATTGCATTGGAGAAGCCTGGTTGCTCGCCTGCTGCCTTTGGATTATGGCCCCATGCTAAAAGACTTTGTTTTCCCTGGTAGTGATGTCCCGAACAGTTCGCTGGCGAATAGTTCCCGGCAAACATAGCGCAATACTGCGAGTAGGGGCATGTCTATTAAACAGTGAGCAGCCTATGGAAAGTTCTATGGAATTTTCCCACGCTGTGTAAAATGACAAAGAGCACTCTGATTGGATGGATTTCAAAGCCATCCAATCACAGTGCTCAATGTCATTAGCGTGGAAAAGTTCTTTGGAATTTTCACGCTGTGTAAAATGACAAAGAGCACTCTGATTGGCTTAAACCCACCAATCAGAGTGTTCTTAGCCTAATTGCAGGGCGGGGAAGGCTTTATAAGCCTTCCCCGCCCTGCAGAGCTCAGTCTCGAGGAGCCCTCCATGGGTGAAGATGGATTATTTTTTGCGCTCGGGTTTTTTCTTTTTCGTCTGGTTTTTTTTTTTTGCTCTGGGTTTTGTTTCAATTCGACGGTTATGATGGTTTTTTATTTGGCCTTTTTTGGGGCTGAAAAAAGATTTGAGAAAAAAGAAGACGTTGAATGGTAAGTTTACTTTTATTTTACAGTTTAGCTATGTTATTCCCCCCCTCACTATTTTTTAGGGTGAGGGGGGTAGGTAGGGACTTTTTATTTGGGGGGGGTGACTAGGGGCTTGGGGACCCCTAGTCACCTTGTGGGGGGGATTTACTTAGGGCCCCCACCCGCAGCCCAGGGGTGGGGGCCGGGGGGGAGGACAGTAGGTCCCCCCA